TAATCAGAATTAGTACTTAGTAGGAGTTTTTGACTGGGTTTGCACCTGGTTTTAAGTTGGTTACAGTAACTGATGCAGAAGTTGTCTGTGTAATGCACTTAACAATGTTTACCAGGAGGTACCGTCTGAGCATCTCTGCAAAGGAAGCTGTGCATGGTGCACCTGCTTTAGACAGTGTAGGAATGGTGAGAGACAATGCTGCTAATAATTTTGTAGAAGTTTTAGCACATAGTGCAATTCATTAATGAACTCGAGCAGGAACAGGTTGTTGCTCGGTTATCTTAACAATAGATACTCATATAATTTTGACTCTTGAGTTTTAATCTTTTTATTAAGAGCTTTTTATATTAAAAAAATATGTAATATATATACTTCTTTTTTCCCCCTAGAGTAAAACGTGCTCTATGCCCCTGCTGGCTGACTGGGCTCTCTGCACTCAGGCAGACTGAGCTGGCTTTGCTGACAGAACCGTGTCAGGCTGCCAGGCCAGGGGTGCCCATGTCCAGCCCCCACCCCACTGGAGTCTGGCTTCCAAAAAAACCCCACAGAACTATTCAGACACAAAACTGTTTTGGTAGTAGGGAATTACATAAACTGAAGGATGTGATTCCCACATTCATCTTTGAAGCAGAATGATTTTTTGCAACCTCTCAAACCCCTGACCCTGTGTAAATAAGCAATAAATTATGTAACCATGCCAAATGACAATGTACAGTAAGTTTCAAAGTGTAAGACTGTGGTATGTAGAGGGTGATCGTGAGGGAAATTGCCTGGTCAAGATCTTGCTGGTGGTGGCATTACTAATACTGTGCTTCTAAATGTTTTAATCCTTTATATAGTATTTTAAAGTGTGATGGAAGGTTAAGTTGTTGAGCTAATGCATATTAAACAACTTTCATATTTAAGAGGTTCATTTTTTTTTCTGAGAAGAAACAAATTTCAAGACTTCTTTAATCCATAATCCCTGAGAATAGTAGCCAAGTCCTTACTCTTAGGAGCCAGTTACCTGTTACTGTTTGAGAACTTTAAAAAATCACAAACCAAATCAAAGTCAACGTTGCCTGTGTTTGAAGCATGGATGAGTTACTGTCAGGACATGGTTTATGTACATTTATATTTCAGGTGGGCTTCTCAGTTCACTTTTATGCAAGATTTTCTTTCTGGATTTCCTTTTGTAAGGTTAAAAGTGTAGTTATAGCTAAGGGTCTGCATAAAGAACATATCCAGCACATCCAGTTGTATAATTCTGGGATGTCTTCAGCACCAAACTAAATCAACAGCTCTTGATGAAACAAAAAACAGGAAAAGACCTTGAAAATTGATAGACACCTTGTTAGGAAAACTGCAACCTTGGTAGTGCAGTTATGTTTTTAATCTGGCATTTTTGGCCTTGACTAACATTTTAAGGGTGAACTTGAATAAAAATGTAATGAGGACTCCACACTAGGCCTCAGATTTTCCCACAAACAGTGGTGAGTCTGGATGTACAGCAGGATGTGGGATGATTTGTACATGGAATTGTTCCTGATAGAAAGGTGCCTGTTGCCCTTCTGGCTGTGTGCTATATTGGCAATATTCAGTTTTGAGTTTAGATCTTACTAAATAGTCTTGTAAAATGTAATTGTTTTGTGATTTGCTCCTCTTCTGGAGGAGTACCTGACCTGTTGCTGTGGTGTGTCTGCACTTACACAGTGCAAAGAGAGTCAGTTATCTACAGTTTGTACTCACAGTAAATGACACCTTCATCCCCCAAGCACTCCTGAATTGTAGTAAATTAAAATGGTTTTGAGCTTGAGAAGCCTTTGTACTTAAATTGTATCATTTGAATCCAGAGATTTTGCAAATGGTATGGTTCTGTTGTAAATATCTAATAAAAGGTGTGTGCAGTGCTGCATTGACAGTTGTGTTTACAGTAGATTATGATAGTTGGTTTTTGTTAACGTAGGTCACATGTTGTGTCTGAAGGCTGCTGAGAGTGGCATTTTTGGTCATGTTAGTCTGTACTGAGAGAATAAATGTTAACAGATGTGATGCTGACAAGTTTAGTTTCATTGTCATCGATTTACAGAAGTACACAGGGGGTGTGTGTGTGTAAATATTTAGAAGTGAGGAGTATCTCAAACATCTAATTGAATTATTTTTCCCCCTTTAAAACCATTCACAATTGTGCCAGTACACTGAATAGTTAAGGTCAGTTGTTAAAAACCTGAAACAACAAAGCAAGAAGGCAAACAGAGTGTGGGGGTCTGGTAGAGGTCCAAAGGCCCATGCTGGGAGGATGCTTGTGTTCACAATGAAGTTGCAACATTTCCTTGGTTACATCTGCTTGTAAATGAGAAATATTTAGGGAACCATAGTTTCTCAAGTGTCATTTAACATTTCTTTTCAACGTGTAGAAGAATATTTAAGTAGTCTTGCAGGATAAAGACTTAATACATTCTAGACTGTAAATCTTCTTTGTAAAAATTACTTCAATTTTTTTTCTTGTATAGAATACAAATCTCAGTTGTGAAACCCAAAGATGAATAAAGCTCTATAAAGGGAAGGTTCTTAAATTGCATTTATTAAAACTTAAGCACATTTCAACACTTTTGACACAAGGCTTCTGTAGATAGGTGCTGTGTCGGGTTCCTGTGAGGGTTTGCAGCCCCAAAGGTGCCCTTGGGTCAGATGGACACTCTGGGCTGTGCTGGGGGTGGGACTGAGGGATGGGGCAGGAATTGCAGTGATTGTGTTGAGATTTCAGGGTTTGTGTGTGCTGAGCCAGGAGACAAACTGTAATGTACTCTGACTCAGCTGGAGAGAAATAACCAACAAACCAACAGGGTAATGACAGAACACTTGAGCAGGCAAAATGTTACTTCTGTTGTTGGTAAAAGTGTTTTTCACCAGGTAAATCAGAACTTTGATTACAGACCCATCTGTGACTTTTAACAGTTCAGGGCTGTTCAGCAAGCAGCTGCAAGTTGCAAAAAAAAGAGTGATTAAAATATGACAGACTGAGCTTTTGGAGGTTTCACACTGTTCTGGACATGGCTCACAGCAAGGCAAACTCCTGGGATTGGAGCCCAGCATTTGATGAGGCTCTTCTGTAAATGAATATCCAGGTAGGGTTTGATGACTCCATTAATCAGCTGCAGCTCTCTGTGGCTGCTTTTCCCAGTGAGCACAATAGGATGAGCATTACCTTGGCTGCAGTTCCAGCCCAGATGCACAGGGCAGGAACAGAAGAGAACTGGAGTGTTACCTGTGCTGCATTAGTTGATCTTTATTGAAGTTGTTAGGGGGGAGGCACGGAAGGTAAGGATTCAAAGGAGGAGGTGGCCCTGCCTCTGAGCTGTGGCATTCTCACTTTTTCTTCAGAGGACACAAAGGCTTCTAAGCTTCATGGTTGGCTTTTATTAAAAGAAGCTGTGTGGTCATTTCCAAATACAGAGAATTAAGACATTTTAGAAAAATGATTTAGACACAACTTGTGCTATTTGCACAAGGGCCCCTGAGACATCTGAAGGGGTTGCAGAAGGCACTGAAAGCAACTCATCCTTTCTGCTTGATTATGATCTCCTTCCTTAGCTTCAAGCTGTGCCTGTTCTCCTCTGGAACTTCCCCAGGCAGTCACACAGGGTCTCTTTTCCTTTAGTCATATACTCATTTGTCCCTTGAGAAATCTGCCGTAGCTCCAGCTGAGGCAGTTCACAGCCAGACAAAACTTTCCCTTTCAGCTACCCAGCTGCATGCTTCCACATGGAAACAGGATGAATGTCCTGAAGGAGTGTGACTGGGGAAAGGCAGAGGAGGCAGCTTTTCACAAACACAGGGTTCCTGGCCAAGAGACCTGAGCAATGTCACTCCACAAAACACGTGGAGTTCCTGTCTGGGCCAGCAGCAGAAGGAGGGGAAATGTGAGAGCTTGATGAGTGTGTGAGCATCACTCACTGATGAGAGCAGGCACCCACAGAACAGAGGCCTCTGGACAGTGTAACTTCACCTGGATTGCTTTCACATGGAACAGAGCAAAGGAAAAATTCAGCCATAGGAAGAGTGGATGTCATGGCAGTGGTCTGAGGACAGCAGAAAAATGTGACACATAGCAAAGGCAGGAAGAAAACCCATGTGAAGATGTAACTGAACAACAAAAATCCCCTCAGAAGAGCAATAGCATCTGAATGGATGAAAAGAGCTGAAGGTGCCCTTCAGGATCATGGCTGAGCTGAGAGCCCAGCAGCAGGGACACAGGACATGAGAGGCAGCAGTCCAGAAGCCCATGAAGAATGCTGATCCAGCAAAGCACAGAGCAGGGCAGAGCATCAGGAAGAACAGAGACCTTGCCCTGGGGCTGCACAACTTCAGCAATGGGCAAAGAGAACAAGGGGATGGGGGATGTGATTTGCTGTCCTTCAAATAAAAGAGGTTAAAGAGGCTTTTGCTATGAAGGGAAGGGACTGGAAAGCAGGAAAAGAGTGGGAATGAACCATTAAAACAGTTTAAAGAGTGCTATGAAGCTAGATACACTCATCTAGTACAAAGGCAGTGCAATTTTAATTCTTACAGTAAGATGGTAAAATAAAGTATCTTTATGGGATTATTTTCTTTAAAATCTTAATAGGAAGTGGTTTTAAAATAGGACAGCTGCTTTGTGACAAAGAATGGCTATCCTTAATTGGCAGCATGAGACCAGAACCACCAGCAGGCAACGTAAACTGCTTGAATTTCAAATCCTGTTGAGTCTGGAAACAGGGTACAAAACTGCAGTAAAAGCTGTTTCTAGATAAGCATTTAAAATAAAACTGTTCTAGATGAGCTATTAAAATAAAACTAGACATCAGCTCTCCCCCATCATGGGGATTGCTAAAGCCCACTCCACAGTGCAGCCTCCACCTGCCCACAGCTTCCCTTTCCTTCAGAACCTCCAGGACACTCATCACACAAGGAAAAGCTGAATATCCAAGATAATCTTGCACAATGCAGACAGGCTAAATGTAGCCATACCATTGTCACAAGGAGAAGCTGAATATCCAAGTGTAAAAAGATAATCTTGCACAATGCAGACAGGCTAAATGTAGCCATACCATTGTTCATATACTTCACCATCAATTTCTCTCATCTAGGAAGAATTGCATTTCACCGGTAATTCTTCCTAAAGCAAAGTCCTGGTACATTTTTGGAGCAGGAGGCTTTACTATACAAAAATGTTACTCTATTCCTTTTACACCTTCCAACTGTACTGTATAGTAGCAAAAGGATGGAGGGAGATGAGGAGCAAAAACAACACTTAAAGTCCTCGTGCTGGCAGCGCAGTGCGACGCCGCTCCGGGTGCGGGTCCGGGCACCCGCCTGACCATCAGTCTCATCAGCAGCTGGTTGGACCAGGTTATCCCAAGGGCTGGAGTGACTCTGCTACCCACTGCCCTGTAAGGGAAGCATGACACATTTCTGCATGCATGGATTTCATGTGAAATACCTCCTGTTGTAACAAAACTGCACTAAAAGGCATCATTTACTGTTTCTCTAACATACATTGAAAACTATAGGTCTATGAAGACAGAGGTAACAGGGTTTACTCACAAAACTTAGGTTCTCCCTGTGGCAAGGAAACAGCTGGAGGAGAAGTGCTTCTGTACAGAACAGCTGTCATTCTTTCAACTACAGCTAGGGGGAATACCTACCTCCATCTGGACAGGCCTCCCTTGCAACAGGAAAACCACAAGAGAAAAACGGTTAACTTTTAATATTTGAAGTGTGTAACAGTTGGCCTTGGATTCCATTTGCAGGTATATTTAGAAATGTTGAGTAAACAGAACACTGCATATGTGTGACTTTCAACTCAAGGTTTAAAACAATTTTTTTCCTGGAAAAAGTGCAATTTCTCCAGTAAAAGAAATACAAGATAACCAGGCAAAAATAATTATTGAACCTTATCTTTGTTCTGTGTCAGTTCCAGAATCTGAAGGACAACAAATATATACATTCGAATCCTCTTAATATCTTGGTGTCAGAAGATACTATTTTGGGTTTTTTCTTAGCTCACTAACAAAGCTGCTAGGGTTTGGTTGCTATATTTTTTAAGCAGACAGAAGGTACATGCAGTTCCATCAGAACAAGACAAGATGCAGAAATAGTCTCGTGTCAGTAGGTACTGAAGCCATTAACTCCAGGGAATTTTTCCTGCTAACTTGTGATTAGGATTAGGATGTAAATGTATATGACAGTTTCTTCCTCTTCACAGCACGAGCTAGTGCTGATCTCCAGCATTGCTGGGTAAATGCCCCAGTGCCCCTCACAGGATCTTGTAGCCTACCCTGGAGTGCCAAAGAGCAGAATGTTCAGAGCTGTGTTTGACATTGTCACTCTGTGTGGGTGACTCACCTGCAGCTGCACTGAGCCGCTTCCGACTCACTCACTGCATCCGTCACCTGCAGCACAAAAACAGGTTTGCAGCTGACCTGGGGTTCTGGGTTCGTTTTCAGCAAGCAGGAGGGCAGGGAAGGGAACCAAGGCAAGAAAATCCAAGTTATCAGAGCATATATTAAGCCAAGTTAGAAAACACTTATTCTTTCAAGGCAAACTAAAAGGGATTTGGGAATCACAAGCTGAGTTTACAGTGTTAGAGTTACTTAGCAAGCTACAGCTTACATAAATTATACTACTACTAGATGCCTTATTTGTTAAAAAATAAACCAAACCACAAACAAACCCTCCACAGTCACAAAACTGTTCCAGTGGTATAGCTGGAGGTAAAAAGTACAAAAGCCCAGATTTCCCAAAAGTGCCTGTCCTCAATGATTTCTCTACCTTTGAAGTTTCTCAGTGGCCTGCCTGCACATTCCCTTCCCAAGGCCACACTGGAGTGTGAATGCTTCACTTCTAGCATTCAGATGCTCCTTCAGTTTGTGAGTGGACTAAGAGCAGTGTCTTGCCTTGTTTTCTCAAAAGAATACTCTTTCTGATCAGTATCATTGTGGGCTTGTTTTGGTCCAGCTCAAGTCAGTGCATGCACTTTAGTGCTTCAGTAATCTCAGCAGTCACACAAAAGAGTTGAGTTCCACAGAAATGGAGCAAAGTCTCCAGTGCTTCACTGTCTCCTGGAATATAACTGCCTGCAGAGCTCCCAGAGCAATCCTCCTGACAATGGCATTTGAAGCCAGTGATAAGAAAGAACTCTGTTATTTTGCTTTGATGCTCTGTGTAGGTGCTATACATACCTATTTCTGTTAGCTTTAGTGGACAACTTTTGAGAACATTAACAGCCTATAAAAGCTTAAATAATAAACTTTGAGTAGGTAACATTTACTAAAGCACATCAGTTTAAGGAAGCTTCAGTTTCCATCAGTCATCCATCATTTACCATCATCAGTCAGCTGATGGTGGTAAATACACCACCATGAAATCTGCATTTACACAGACTGTTCCATCACCCTCCAGCCATTTATTAAACAGAGTAAGAAGCAATTTGATATCCTACCTGATTAATGCACATGATGGGAGTCCTGAACCTCGTGCTCAAGCGGTGCAGCTGTGCCCCAAAGGTCTGCAGGTAGCGAGCCTTCAGAGCCGCCTCGGCCGGGCCGAACTCGCAGCGGAACAGGGCGGCCATGGAGTCGATGACCACGAGGCGCGCCATGCCCCGGGCCAGCAGCAGGGACAGCCTCCTCGTGATGCACTGCTGGAAGGTGTCCTGCCACACACACAGTGACAAAGGGCAAAGAATGTCCCCTGCTGGGACATCAAGGGACTGAACTGCAGCAATCACCACTGCAGCACGAGCTCAGGGAGTTTTGACTCATGTGGGCAGCTGGTGGATCTCTGAGTCTCACCGTAACCACATGTGGTGGTTTTACTGAGGAGAAAATGGGAGAGACAAAACTGCAACCTGCATTTACCTGCAGCTCTGACTTCACTGATACTTTTAAATCTCAAAGGTGTAGTACCACATTCCTAAACTGTTCTGTTTTCATACAGTGATATAATGTTAAGGGGTTGGGATGGACCTTCAAAATCATCCAGTGTCAACCCCTGCCATGGGCAGGGACACCTCCCACCAGACCAGGTTGCCCAGAGCCACATCCAGCCTGGCCTTAAACACTGCCAGGGATGGGGCATCCACAGTTTATCTGAGCAACCTCTTCCAGTATCTCAGCACCCTCATAGTAAAGATTTTTTTCCTAATATCTAAATTTCCCCTCTTTCAATTTGTACCCTTGCCCCATCAACGTGTCCTTACAGAGAGTCCCTCTCCAGCTTCCCTGCAGCCCCTTCAGACACTGGAAGGCTCCTATGAGGTCCCCACAGAACCTTTTCTTCTCCAGGCTGAACAGCCCCAACTTTCTCAGCCTACCTGGGGAAGGAATGGTTCTCACTGAAACACTCAGGACAGACATAAGACTATCATTAAGTGTCCCAAACCAGTTACAAACTGTGCTGCTCTTCCACTAATGACCCCTTAACAGTAAAATACTGCTTCAAATCCATATTGATCAAGAGTCTTAGAAACATTCTTTGTGCTACTACTTACCAGGTCTGCTGCCTGCTCAACAAAAATACTGTTTCCAAATCTGATCTTCTGTATGATTTCAGCTGGAACATCTGCACGCAGCTTATGCTGTTGATCTATGAGCTGCTGCAAACGTTTGCTTGGGAACACATCTTCTGTACAAATGTAGACAGCTCCTGTAGCCAAGGAAACCACAGGGCTCTTACACACACAGTCTTCTGAACAGCACACAAATTACATCAGACATTCTGCATTTAAAAGCTACACATACAGACCTGGAAGTTCATATTTGTTTGGTTGGTTTGCAGCCACGTTGAATCAGTGATGAACAAAAACCCACTTCTGTGACTTTGCTGCAGCTGCCTGCTCCTTTCTTCAGCACCAGCTGGGACAACTGGATTTTGTACTCTCCACTGGGTGACACTCACTGTGCACAGCTGTGGAGCACCTGATCACCTGCCCTTGGGGATCAGGAGTATCCCAATTTATCCAACCCACAGAGTGACACTGCACAGTCTGCCTGCTTCAGTCAGAAATCCAAAACACAGCACCATGAATTTCAGGCTAAAAAACCCGTGCTAACTTGTGTTGAGACAATACTCCTAAGTAAAACATTCTGGCCTTCTCAGCTACCATGCTTATTTAAGCTGACTGCCTTTGCACAATGTTGCTTTAATGCTGAAAGACAGGGATTTCCCTACCAAGAGTTCTGGGCTCACAGAGAAATCATCTGCTTTCTGAAAACCAGACCTGCCTTAAGCAGGAGGTCCCTTGTTCTCTCCTTGGTTTACTGAACAAGGGTGGAATGTCCATTTCTTCAGATTTCATAGTCACTGGGGTTCTTCCAGATGCACATTTGCCTTTCTAGATAGATTGATGCTCCATTGATTAAATAATTGTATTTTGATCCACAGTTATTGCAACATTCAGAACACTGAAAACACAAGTCACAAGTCCAACAAAACCCCAACAGAAATCAGCAATTTCATCAAATCTGCTATTCAGGCCAACAAATGTGTTATGCTCGTTGTTGACAAAAAAATACCACCAAAAAATCAACCAAAACAGGAATAAAACCCACTAAAACCCCTCAACCTCAGAAAGAACAAATTTTGATTCCTATGATCATAATCTGTCAGGTACCAAACCAGTTTGTTACCAAGAATCAGTAGCAAACATTATTTTCTAATTCAGAATTCTAATGTGGATATTAATTTGTTCCATTATATTCACATATTACTTATGAATATGGGCATATAAAATAAATTCAGCCAACACAACTGACATTCCTGGAAAAGCAGAAAGATATCCTGGAGGCAAAGGAGGCCTTTGTTTACTTTCAGCATTTCTTTGCTGCCAGCCTCCTTGCACTGAGAATTACAATGAAGACTAGCACTAAATTTGATGAAGTAACTGTTTAAAGAAATGTATTTCAACATCACCACTTATGAGAAGGGAAGTTTCCCTTCAGTAAATCAGTAAAAAAATACAGTGCACCATAATTTTAAATCAGTAGCAAAATCTTCCACTGGTAGTGCAGAGTCCTGTGAGAGTTTCTAAGCATTGCTGTTCTACAGTTTGCTAAAGGATAAAACACCTCCCATTTAACCTAAGCTTTAATTGCTGTATTTTTCATGGGAGGCTCAACACGAGAGTACCAGTAGGGTATTGGGCACCTTCCTCTGTTCCTTGATTTCAACACAAACAGGGAGAAGTGCTGGAGTACAGATAAAATGTATTTAAACTATGTGCAGCAGTTAGCAGCAGCACACAAAGGAACAGAACAAAATACAATTGCTTCTGTTCTGATTAATGACATCATGTAATGTAAGCCATGGGCTACTCACAGCCCTTTAAACAAGATCTCACTTTGTACAGTCCATAATTTTTACCACATGGGTGGACAGAGTTCAAGAAATTAGTGAGTTTCCCCACAAGGAGCCACTGAGCTGCCAGATAAAGCCAGTGCTGTGTGGAAGGAGCAGCAAGGTCACAGGCAAAACACACCTAAGGCAGACTACCAGAATTCTCAGAAGTGACACAGGCTTCCTCCCTTTCTACAGCAGCAATAGTAAAAAAAAATAAAATTAGGAGTTAGATTAATATGACAGAAGGGTAAAAAAAACCATACTCAAATCAAAGAATAAACCTGTATACTTTGGTAAACTCAGGAAAATCACAGGCACAAAACCATGTTACTTTTCTTCAATTACATTTCCATCAATTTTACTCTGTAAATCAGTACAATTGTTGTTATCAAAACAAATAATCTTTGAAATTTGAAATCCCCAGCTAGGGAATATATACCATGTACCCAAGATGTTTGTAGAAAGTTATCTGCTGAGCTGTTCTGAGGAGTCAATGAGCTCTCATGACAGCAACACTTTTCTTACATTGCTTGAGAGTGTGTTTAGTTTAACCCACAGTGGCAGGCAGCAAACAACAGCCAACAGCAATGTGGAATTAAGTTATGTTGTGCTGCAGGATGTGCACAGCAAGCTTTTCTCTCTGTAAAGACACATTAGTCACTAACTGGCTTCCTCCTGAAGTTAGACATGCACTGAACATGTGCACCTGCTTTAATGAGGTTCCTAAAGCAGTATATTCCCTCAAATGGGACATGAATCCAAGTTGACAGTTCTGCACTTACCAGACTCTAAGCCACCGTACTTGTAAGGATACTGCACACACAGGCACAGCTGTAAACTGATCTGAGTCTTCCCAGCAGAACTCTCCCCAGCAAGCTCCGTGATTCCCACTACAGGAATGCCTCCTTTTAGCAACTTGTCCAGCACTGAACAGCCCAGGCTCAGCCTCTGGTGCTGGGAGGTGAAATGATCTTTATCTTGGTAGAGCTGAAGTGCTGCAGGGTTTGGGAGTGTTTTTTAATGATTAAAAAGAAAAAAAAAAAAAAAAGAAAAAGGTAGTTTCGTTTATTATTTTTCCAACACACAATGATACAAAATAGATGCTGTATACAAGGTTTATCCCTACAAAAGATGCTTTCTTTGTTGATGGAGAATTTCCCTAATTCAGCCTGGTCTTCCCCACCTCTCTCTCCCCATCAGACCTCTGCTGAATATCTGTACAAAGATTGATAATTTACACAGAGTTCTTTCTCCCTCTCAAACTCTTTTTTTCCTTTCTCTGCCTCTAAGGTGTCCCTGAGGAAAGTTACACTCAGAGAGGATTTTGACAGCAAAGGTTCAAGCACAGCAATTATGGAAATAGAAAGCTATAGCAGAGTATAAAACAGCACAGCAGGCATCTGGTCAAAGCCTGAAGACATATGCAATCACAAGAAAATATGCTTTAAATACAGAGTTGTCATTAAGAATTTGTACAGGAGGAGCTATTAGGTCCTGCTTGTTTTGGAATGACATGTTTATTACAAATCAGTTTATGGAACTTTTAATATATCATATACATTTTTCAACTAGTCTTAGTCCAAAAGGAGAATAGTGAGTGGGAGGAAGAGAGTGTGAAAGAAAAAGAAGAAAAAGGAAATATTTTCTTCCTGTATTTAAGTGTTTCAGACTGGAGAAACATTTTGTCCTGTTTCAATCAGGCTGGATCCTGAAAAACTACACCCATTCGCTTCCATTTCCCCCCAGGGGAGCTGTCCTTAGGATAGTTAAATAATTCACTACAGCATAATTAAAACACTTCCATTCTCATTTTAAACCCACATTTCTGTGTCACTGATGAGCCAGAACCATATTTTCTCCCAGTGACAGTTATTGTGAGTTCTAGAGAGAAGCCTTTTCATGCCCTGACTGCCTTACCTGTGAGCATGCTGTTCCTCCTCAGTGTGTGAGAGACTGTTTTCAGCAGGCACTGGATGTCTGCACTGGAGAGCTTCATCAGCCTCTGCAAGTCTGCTCCAGACAGGTTTAAAATCTCTTTTACTGATTTTATGTCAGCTGAAACAAGAGGAATTTTTATCAATACTTTTTGGCTGTCTGACACAGCAAAGTTTTCCCAATTTGTAATTCTCATTTACTTGAGGTTTATCTATACTGCATTCTTGTATGGTGGGCAGGCAACACTCACGTGGACTGTACCAACACAAGCTGTAAAAATGTTTGGAAATTTTTTATTGAAGCATGGGCAAAACCCAACACTTTTAATTACTCAGAAAACTTCTTTATGAAATACTTAATTACAGTTCTAAAATGTTAGTGTCCATCTGTCTGCTCATACCCACAAACACACAATTATGTCAAGGATGTCACTGTGGTGACAGATCTGTTAGTGAGACAGTGGCAAATTAAATTACCTTTTTTCAGGGCAGCAATTGTTTTAGGGTTCAAGTCAAACTGGTCCCAATCCATCTCCTGACACAGCACAGCAGTGAGCAGCACATCCCGTAATTATCTGTGATTAAAGTGGCTTTTATCACAAACACAGGCATGAAAAAATAGGCATAAATCAGTGTCAAAAGTTTCCATTTTCTATTTTTAACAATATCTTTATCAGTTATCTTAGAGAAGTAACAATTCTGGGGTTATTACGAGAATTATTGATATTACTATTATTATTTTACTGTGGGAAGAGTGTGACCAGCAGGCTGAGGGAGGTGATGCTCCCCCTCTACTCAGCCCTAAGTGAGGCCACATCTGGAGTGCTGTGCTCAGTTCTGGGCTCCCCAGTACAAGAAAGACAAGGAGCTACTGCAGAGGGCCCAGCAGAGGGGATGAGGGGTCTGGAGCATCTCTCTGCTGAGGGGAAGGGAGGGGAGAGGCGAGGAGAAGAGAGGAGAGGGATCCCATCAATGCATATCACAATCCATCTCTCTGCTGAGGGGAGGGGAGAGGAGGGGAGAGGAGAGGGATCCCATCAATGCACATCACAATCCCAAAGGTGGGTGCCTAGATGATGGTGCCAAACTCTCTTCAGCTTCACCTCAAGATGAAGAGGAGCTCTTGTACCGAGGGTGGCAGAGCTCTGGAGCAGCTGCCCAGGAAGGCCATGGAGTCTCCCTTTCTGGGAGAATTCCACACCCACCTGCACTCATTCCTGTGTCACTGCTTTAGGTGAGCCTGCCTGGGCAGGGGTGTTGGGCTGGATGATCTCCAGAGCCCCCTTCCAACCCTGGCTATTCTCTAATCCAGCCCTTTGGCAGAAGTCTTCTCTGATGGATGTTTACATTTATCCTATTGAAGAATTCAGCCAATAATCCTGCAGTTAAGAGCTCCTGGTAGTTTTAATTGCCTGTAATTCTGCATAGTGCTTTTGCTCTGGAGTGCAGCTCACAAGCAAGCTGGACAGTGATTTACTCCTGTCAGTCTTCACACGAGGCTTTCAGTTTCTAATAGAAAAAAATCTCACACATGGCCAGTTCAGGATGACCGAGGATTATTCATGCATTGGACAGTCATTTATTTAGCATACACATATACGTTTATTAGTTAAAAGTAAATTTAATATTGAATCGTTGAAGTCTGTCTGTTTCTTGTAACATTAAATAGCTCTTTTAATACTTTGGTCTGAAACACAACAGTTTAGTCCCATGGCTACCTAAAAGAGGTTCTTAGCATTATTCTGATAACCTTTATAAAGGATTGAAACAGACAGCCGGGAGTTTAAAGAGCATACCCGACTTTATGAACAATCCCTTTTTCAACATGGGGGGAGAGGTTGTGATGGCTGCTAAAAACAGAATAAATCTAAGAGAGGCGAGCTACTTTTAAGTAACACCCATTTAAAGCAACATTCTGAGAAGGTTTAGAAGCCGAAACTTACTGAAATAAGTCATGATTACGACGGCCCTTGACTGACGGGCTCCAAACCATTGCGCGCTCCGCTCACAGGAAGCCGCTCCGGGGATGAGGCCCAGGGGAGAGCGAAACTCCGGGAGCGGCTCACGCTGCAGCCAGGGGGGTCCCACGGTCCGGCAGCGGCCGGGGACAGCGAAGGGCGGACACACGGACGGACACACGGACGGACACAGGGACAGCCGGACACAGGGACGGACAGCGCGCGGCGCCGCCACAGGGCCCTCACGAATCCCCCGCTGCCTGCGCAGCCAATCAGCGAGCAGCCTGCCCGCCGCAGGCCAATCAAAGCTCCCTTCAGTGACTGCCCCGGCGGGACAGCCAATGGCAGGGCGGATCGTTCCCCTCCCGCTGGGCCGGCCGGGAGTGGCGGGGCCGGGCTGGGTCAGAGCCTCGGGCGGGCTCTGCGGCAGCGACCGCGGGCTCTCTGCGGAGCCGCCCCTCGAAGCCGCCCCTCGCGGCCACGGTGCGCCGCTTCCTGCAACTCAGCGACGCGGCCGTGGCGCCCGCGCCCTTCGCTTCCGGGTTGCGGGGAACGGAGGAGGCGGGACTAGCACGCCAAGGGGCACGGGATTGGCTGGCACTCCCTGAGCGTGTGGGCGGGGCCGGAGAGTCGCTGCTTCCCATTGGTTGGACGCCGTGTCCGTCGCGCAGCGCCGCGCGGCCATTGGGCGGTGCCGGCGGCCGTCCCGCGGCGGCGGCGGCGCGCGGGGGAAGATGTCGGGCGGCGACGCGAAGAAGCTGGTGCGCTCCCCCAGCGGGCTGCGCATGGTGCCCGAGCACCGCGCCGCCCGCAGCCCCTTCGGCCTGGACGAGCCGCCCTGGGTGCCCGACAAGGAGGTACCGCCGGGGCAGGGGCGCCGCGCTTCCCTTTGCCCGCTTCCTTTCCCTCTTCCTTGCCCCTTTCCCTCCGCTTTCTCGCTTCCCGTGGGTTAAAGGACGCAGGGACGCGGCTGTCACTCGTTCTTCAGCGCTGTGCGGCCCCGTCGCGAAGATTGCGAGCGATTGGCGATTAGAAGTGTAGCGAGTTGTGCAGTTTTGCTTTAAATGCTTCTAAAGGTGGTTCTGGAGGCCCTGTAGGTTTGAAACTAATTGCATAAATATTGAAGCAGTAAGGCTGAGGTCGAACAGCCCTCCTGGCTCCTGGTGCGAGTGTTCGTAGTGTTAAACTGAACAACTCAGTCTGTTCCAGCCAGCTTCGCTTTTAAATACTTACCGAGTGAACAGCGTGATGGTGATATTTTAAATTCCACGTAACGAGAGTTAATTGTTGCCAGTCGCTGCGCCCAGATGCACATGCAACACAGAACCCATTGTTTGTTTATTTATTTATTGCCACAGCGTTCTGTGGCGTGGCCCCGCGCCAGTGCATTTGGATGCGACCGGAATGAAGATTTGTTTTGGAGGAGGCAGTGAGAATTTCAGGCGGCGTGATCCAGCACGATGTTCCTTGGCACACAGGGACGTGCTGGGTCTGCTCTGTACGGGAACACCGGGTCCTCCTTTGCACAGCAAAGTTTGCTTCTTTCTGTGAAGAGGAAAACTTCTCCCTCTGCCTCTGTCTCTTGAGGCAGAAAGTTCTGTGTAATTCAGCTAAAGATTGTCTGGGGATTGTGGTAGGATCTGTTTAAACTTGTTAGATATATGGAGAGAATTAAGTCTGTGTATTTTAGATACATCAGTCTGATGTGTGTTGTTAGTTTTATATTACAGTTCTATTGTAGCTATTCATTCTCCTTAAAATTCAACTTTTCCCCTGCAATCTGCTGAGCTGTAGGCTGAGGGTGTTGAATTATGACTGAATGTGTTCAGTGATATTTGCTGTTGAGAGGAAGTGTGATAGAGGTAAATATTTTCAATGCATTTGTTAATGCAGGATTAAGAGTATGAATTCTTATTTTGTGACTAGTTATTTACTAGATAAAAGTATGTTAGAATTCTGACATCCCTTTGGTTAACAATTGCCAAATATGTTACAAACTTTTTCCTTAAATGAAGCAGGTATGTGATACCCAGGGAAGTTTATAAATTCCATGTTTTTGTTAAGAGCAATTAAATTTAAAGACACAGGGTTACCTAGGCAATGAATTAGTTGAGAATGCTTGCTCTTGTTACCGTGTCAGACATAATTAAAAACGAAGTGTCTGTGTCCAAGACAAGACCATGAGTGGTATTAGCAAATTCTGATCTGGCTTTTTAAATCCACTGGCTTTTGCTGTGCAGCCAGTAACACTCACAAATCCAGTAGTTTTATTTTTCTTATGCAAGAAGAGTCAACTGGCTTATTTTTCTAAATCAAGGCCACCTAAAAATTATGGCAGTTAGTACTTTTGTGCAGCTTATACAGCATCAAAATATAATTAAGTTTTAATTTTTTTTTTAATTGCAAGGTTATACAGTCTTAAAATATCAGTAACTATCAGGAATTTGAAATGCAAGCCTGGAGCAGGACTACTGAAAACTTTACTTTTTGAAGTAATCTTATTTGTAATATAGGTAATGAGTTGAGGGGGATTTATGAAAGTGTGCTGAGCATCATTAAACTCGGGACAGAGCTTAAAATGTTGGTCTCTGTATGTGCCTTGTCTGACTCAGAATTTCTTTGTTAATCACCAGCAGAGCTTAATTGATGATATTTCTGTTAAGGAAAGCTTGGAGTAGAAATTGAGTAGAATGTGCCAGTTTGCCTGCAGAGGTGGCCAAACCTTGTGATAGCCAGCTGTGTACCAGATGTTTCCGTGGCTGAGGAACACTCTGTGCTGGGGGGAGCTGACAGCTGCGGTGGAAGGGTTCCCTGGGCTCCTCCCTGGCTGCAGGAGGGAGCTGAGCTCTCCTGCCTCCTCTCTTGGCTCCGGCTCTGGGAGGGGCACTGTGGAAGGGTTCCCTGGGCTCCTCCCTGGCTGCAGGAGGGAGCTGAGCTCTCCTGGCTCCGACTCTGGGAGGGCACAGGTTGTGTGGCAGGGCTCCCTTGGACCCCTGGCAAAATCCAGGCTCAGGCAGTGGCAGAGCAGCTGAGCTCTGTCTGCCCCGTGTTTGCATCCTGCCCTTTCCCCCTTTGGCCAGGTGTGCTCCAGCTGGGATTTCCTGAACTTCCTCTGTGCAAAGGTTCACTGTGTTAAGGAGCCCGGCCAGGGGTTCCCATGCAACACTTCTTGAATCACTCTGTTATTATTTATGCAAATAAAGCATGTGAAGTGTAACTACAGATTCCTGGCCATCGATGGGATTCTCACCTCTGGCTGGATCAGTGGGATTATGGAAATATTCTCACACTTGAGCAAACCCATGAGAAGTTTGCAATGAACCAGCTCTTGGTATTTTTAAATTAATGCCCAGATCTGTTCTTCCATTTTCCCCTTTCTAGATGATACTGGTGTTGGTGGTTGACTACAGATGAAATTAATTTACTTCTGACATGAATTCTTATTTAATTTCTTGCTTCACATCTTTTTGGTTGAAGACATGAGAAGTAACTTGGACATGGTGCTTCCTTCTCTGTTTATGTGATAAAACCCCTCCAAGCGATTAAACTCAATTCAAATCTAGTCGCTCTCTAATTATGTTGGTGTATGGATGAACAGGAAGAATTCACCTTTCAAGATGTTCTCAATAAATGTCTTGTCTCAGGCAAAGCAGAAGTTGACATTATGCAAATGGTTCACTCCGTTCTGGTTACTTAAAGCAGAAATACCTCGAAGGAACAGTATCTGAAGCTTGCTTGTGTCAGAACATTTTCCTGGGAAAATCCCATTTTGCAATGCCAGCTACCATGTGCTACTTGACTTGTGATTTATTTAGGACTGCTGTTTGTATCAGGCAGGGCAGTCATCATGCGTCTGGAATTCAGAAATATTTTTCTATAGTTTGGGTTAAATAAGAGGATGGATAATTTTGTTCCTTCCTAAAAACCAATTTTATGTTTAGTATAGCATTCTGTATGAAATCTATGTAGAACAGTATTTAGAAGAATTTGGGTCTGATTTTTTTCTCCCCCCCCCTCCTCTAGCTCCTGACTTGTGCTTTCTGAATTTTGGCAAAAAAAACAAATAAAAAACCCCAAACCTCAACCCCCCCTAAAAACCCAATTCAGGCGAACTAAAAAAACCCTACCACCACCAAAACCCAACCAAAAAACTCCCAAATAATTTCTTTAAGAAAATTAATTAGAACTCAGGTAAATGCAAGGCATTCCAAAATTATTGTGAGGTCCAGCTCCCAGGCAAGCTGTTAAACTAATGACAAAAATTAAAACAAGGTAGAGCAGAACATGGCATCAGCTGTGGAGTTCTGCTTGTTACAGAGGTGAAACCTGGTGTATGCTGAAATTGCTTCATGCTGAGTTATTTATCAGTGAGTGTTGAAATAACCTTTTCTGCAGCCATTGTGAAAAGATGTGTTTGGATGCCCGAGTTCAGTGTTAGTTAAAACAATTCAGGAACACTTCCAGTGCTCATCTGTGTGGGATTTAGAAACAGCTTGTTGTAACAAATTCTGCAAGTAGGTGTTTACGTTCCACTACAGTGACTGCCATTACCATCTAATGTGTTAAACGTCTGTTTAGACAGCAGAGCCTTTCATATAAACTATCACCAATTATTAACAAGCTTGCACTTCAAAAGGACATGAAAAATTTCTGGCGAATTTTTAATTTAGCTGCTGTGTAATATTTTCTTGGCTGCAGCTGTTGAACTTGTGGCAGTGATTGAGTATCTGCTGGAGCAAAAGTCCCTGAACAGAAGCTGTTGTAACCTGAGGGGATTTATAGAAGAAAAAGCGTTAAGCATTGAAATATGTTAATTAAAGGCAAAGGGTGATTACTGTGTGCTTAGCAAATAGCACCTGCTCAGCTTAGGGCATGTGGTTAAGAGGACATTCTGCTGTAGTCTGAGATAGTCTGGTGTGAGGACTTTGGATTTCTGGAGTTATAAAACCTAGTACAGGATCTAACCATGTTCTTCTGAGTAAGATGTCAGGCATAATTTTGCATTAATATTTGCAAGTAAATATAGCAAAAATTGCATTATAAGCCTCAGACCTTGGGGT